AATGAATGTGTGTTGTTCAGTTATTGACTTTATTGACCTCATTTGATCCATCTTTATTTTCCATTACAGATATTATTATTTTTTTTCTTTAAAAGACAACTCCCGCATTAGGAATACATTCCTGTGTCGCGGGGGACTTTACAAACATACATGAAACGGACACAAAGAACACCCAGACTCAGAACAACAATTTGTGGATCACACAAAGTGTAACCCCACATGGGGGTTTGAACCTACAACACTCGGCGTAGTAGGAAGCGGCGAGGTGACCGCTTAAACCACTACGCCATCCGTGCAGTCAATCAGACCTAAGTAAAACATCCAGGCTATAATACAATACTATATAAAATGATTATTATTATCTTCTAACAAAACTTTTTTCTAAAGTAAAGAATGTATTTATTCTCGATAGTTTTTCTAGTGTTTCAGAGATTTAAGTAATATTTATATAAGACACTTTGTAAGTCATTTTTGAGATAGTACTAAACACTCTGGGAATACAATGTATGATGGAACAGCTAGTTATATAATAAAAATAAAAAAAAAAATAGTTCAGTTACCATAGCAACAACCAATCCACCATCCAACAAATCACATTAGATCTAATGAGTGATTTTATGTTATCAGTGCGGACTGTCATTTTGTAAGCTATCTACACCGAAAACATACAAAAAAAAAATTTTCCCTTGTAGATTTGATTAATGCAGTTTAATCAATATCTAAACATATAAGTGGTGGTGCAGTGGAAGCGTATGCGACTGCTGTGCTGATTGCTTGTGTGATGTGCAAATCTTTGTTTCGGAGCTTGGGTGATTACTATGTAAAATATTCATGTATTTACAAAAAAAGTACATAAATATTCTATCAGTCAAGTTAGTTTTCATAGTACAAGCTCTGCAGTTTGAAACTAGATGGCGTTGTGTGTCAGATGTAAGAAAAATATATAAAAAAATAGCAGCTAGTATTTGTTCACTAACATTAAAAACCATTATGCATACAAATACCTTTTTGCAGTACTTTGATAGCATCAGCCTTCCTAAATGCTGTCTATATTACATGACTTTTCAGAATACATTTCCTTGGGGCAAAATTTTTTCCCCACCTCTTGGATAATTGGCACTCCACCACTGTGCGCTTTTCAAGACACTTTTTGCCTCGCACTACCAACCTGTAGAACAAGTTATCGTCTGTGGTATTTCCGTATCGGACCTTCAAGAAAAGAGCATACTCCTTTCTCAAAGGCCGGTAACCCGCTTGTGACTCCTGAGTTGCAGGCGTTCATAAGCAGCGGTAGACGCTTTCTAATGCACTTTCGCTAAAAAAGTACAGTTAAAAGTAAAACAACCATTTGTATATAGACCACCGTGGAAGAGTCATATTTCGGCACAAAAAGGCTTTTCACCGAGTAAGTAAGGTTACTGGATCCCAAACTTCTCCTCTTCTTGATTGTGGTAGAGCAACTTAGAAGGAAGAACTTAGAAAAGAACAAGACAAGACAAGAGGCTCCAAGAAGTCTCTGTACTACCAGATTAACTTAAACGAAATTTAATAAACAGTAAAAGAAAAGTGACATGGGTAAATAGGTGGATAATAATCGCTATAAATTGTAGAATTGGAACGTCATTGTAGAGACAGCGACGATACTAAAGCAGCATTCCACGTTTGGAATTCAATCAAATCAAAGTGTCAGTGTCAATTGATACCAGTTGACAAATATCTCAAAGATGTTTATCAGACATTTATCGTAATATACCAGTAACATAACAAATTAGAATTCTCGTAAACCGAGGTCAGTTCAATGAAGTTTTATTACTTGAAAGTGCTCATCGGTCCAAAGGTTTAAGCGCACATTTCGTTTGCCATTTTATAAGTAGGATGAGACCCAGACGATAGGCCCACGATTAATCAAGTTATTGTAATAAAATGCACCATCACTCGAGATGACATAAGAACGCTTAGTGCATTGCTTCAATCTTTGTACGTCTTTGATTGTTGTTAGATGAATTTAACTATGTTACGTAACACACTTGTATTGAACTATGCTGTGTAGTTAGTTTCATAAAACATTTCAACTTGAACTTCAAGGAAGAAGGATTCATCTGATTAATATTTGGCAAACTTTAATGAAAATATTTGACCATCAGTTTTCATCTTGCGTTAAGTCAATGACAATTTATTATAATGTAGATATATATATATATATATATATATATATATATATATATATATATATATATATATATATATATATATATATATATATATATATATATAATACTATCAATCCTAATAACTATGCGTTGTGATCAATTTGACTTTTTTTTAAAAAGACTTTCCACGCCACGCCATTAAGGTAGTTGGATGCCTCAATTTGTTTTAAGAATTCAAAACTTTATTGACGTGGTCTTAAAAAATAAATAAAAACACCAATCATTAATTTTATTACTTCAACTAAACCAAATCACGTATGGCAAACTGATAAAAATACTAATTCATTTTTTTTAATTATGTGTAATTTATACTTGTAATCTTTAAAAGTAAAAGAAGGAAATTCAAACCGTGTAAAATGTTTTTGTAGTTTATTTCACAAAAAACTTAGGAGTATATTTTTAGATAGTTCTAGATAGTTTTTTATTTGAATTGGAGTGACCTACAAGCATTATCTTATCGAAGATACGATAAAGTGAAAAAGAAATGAAAGATCCGGTGGAATCTCTTCTCAATTCAAACTATGCACAAACTTCAGACTATCCCCTGTAGAGGATCTATGGTACAGATCGTAAAACTTTTCACGACCTCGAGATGCGGCAGCGATCGCACTCGGCGTGCACTCCACAGGACTAATTAGTGTAGTGTAGTCTGATATGTACGTGATCATCTCTGCAAATATGAGCTAGAGACTGAAACGGAATGGGGATTTTTCAAACAACAGGTTCTGCTTGCGATGCCTAAATAGAAAAATCACACATAGTATTCTCCCAAAGCAGAATTGGTATTAATTCACCTTTTCTGTTTTTTACGTGTTTGTAGGATACTGTGAAATTTCATTACACTACGATACAAATATGTAAATAAAACATAGTCTGTAGTTAAAAGTACTAATCTTCCTTACTTAGTAATATTAGGTCTTATTACATCACCTTTGAAGTTGGAGATTTTTAAAACCTGAATTTCAGATTTAATTATCTATGGACTGGCAGGCTATTCAAAATTCAAATAAATTTTATTAGAAAGCCTTGTTATTTTAATTTAAAAATCATTAATTTGTTTGAAATAGTGTTTGGTTTTTGTGAAATTGTGGTAGCTTTTAGCGCCATGGATAAACTCACTAACCTATTATCTGTTGAAAGGTGTTAATATCAAGTAAATAATTAATTCTACTTATTAAGATTTCTTGGAACAGTCCCTGATATACACTGTTTTATCAGTATCTTGTTCTAATTTTAATCGTTCATCTACGATACGATCGTTTAAATCTTTCAACGAAAATTAATTCTGATATACATAGTAATATAATATGTTCAGAATTTTATATTCGATATTTTTATAATTTAAAACATTTAAGAAATCACAATTAGTATTCATGGTTTATTTTAAGGATTTAATGGATATATTATTATCAATTCCCTTAATTATCTGAGGCCCATGTACAATCATCTAGTAATACTGGCGTACCTTTTTTTTTTTTTTTTTTTTTTTCCCATGCGGAAATCCCCTCGGATACCACCTGTCGGTGGCATGTCGGACTCGAACCGACTAAAACCGCACGCCTTCGCCGGGTACTAATAGCCGGGGAACCAGGTATACCCTAGAAAGGAAGGCCCTGGTGCCCCGACATACCTCGGGTCATCTACAGACGAGTAGACGACCCCCGCCCCGTGTGGGAACCCCATGTTCCCTGTGCTCCCTGGAAGCGAGCGCGCTTCGCAACGCGCTCGCCGCCACCCCGGCCTGCTTCTGCTAGGGTGACAGATGGCCTCACCTGTCACCCCCAGGCCTGCGCTTATGGAGGACGGAGGTCGTTCTGCGACCTCCGGCGCCTAAGTCGCCTGCGCTGCCTGGCCCGTGCCCGAGCCTGGCGGGCTGGGAGAGTTCTAAACCTCTCCCGGTCCCGCTCCGCCGTAATACTCAATTTTTTTCCAGGTACGCCACCTGGAAAAAAATTGAACTGTGCAGCAAAACTTTCTGACTATTTCAAATTATCTGTAACTTGATGTAAGAAAGGCGGAGAAGACCTTTATAAGTATTTATACTTAGATGTTAATTAATTCGTAATTTGAAGTGAATTTTAAATCTTGATGTTGTTATGTGTTATTTTACTAAAACTAATAACCAAATGTGTTAAGATAATATAATGATTTAGAAACGTATATCATTTCAGAGTAGTTAAGAGATTGTTTTTAAGGTGAAATAAACCTTTAATAAACATATTGAAATGTCTTCTTAATACCAATCAGATAAATCCAAACACTCGGGACTTTACATAGCAAATGCAAATACCTGATGAAGCCAGCTTACAGCCAGTTACATACTATAAAAATATGTCTCTTTTATACGGTCATATAACCATTGATAACTTGCTAATCATGTTGATCAATAACAAGGACGGAATCCGGATCAAAGTAACGATTATAGTTGTGTACAGCCTGATAATACCTCTCACGACGTAATTGTAACCTTGATCTAAGCTGATAACATCCGTCATCCCACTAGTAACTCGTTAGAGAGACTGTGACAAAGCCGGCGCGGGCGCGCGGACCTGCATGTAGTTGTTGTTTTTTTTTGCAAGCCCACCGCTCTGTTACCGAACCGAAGTAACCGATTTTAGTTCTCCTCCGGAGCTGCTCCGGTATGCATATATATTATGCTGCAGAATACGTTGCCGCCAGTTTGACCGAACCGTACACACGCGGGAGCAGTGATCAACTTTGCGTCTAATATCAACTTTGTTTTTTTCTGTAAAAGATTTAAATGATCCGGTGAATGAGTTTCCTGAGAAGATGGAACAGGTTAATAATATTGGAGCGAAATCTCCCCACAATGTTAGTGAACAATTTAATGGCGAAAAAGCTGATAATGGTTTTGTGAAGCCTAAACTACGTATAAAAGTTCCACAAGCGCTTTCGTTGAAGAATCATATTGTTGATTACGAGGCTGTGGACAGCTTACACTCAAAACTTGAAGAAGAGACTACTTATATCGTAAGTAAATATTCATTTATTTTTGTTTCACAATTAAGAAGAATATCAATCATTTAAAAAAAGAAATAGTTTACACTCAAACAATATCACATCAGACAGGAAACACGTATTTATTAGCCATATATTACAACGTTTATGATAGTGGGTTAAACAACAAACAATGATTTTATTCGGCTATCAATCAGTTGATTGATCGACCTTTAAAGTGATAGTGCTGTGTATATCTACAGAAATACGTTCGTTACTTACGTTCAATTATGTGGAGAAAATTTGTTCTCAAAATTAAACATCACATACCTGTTGCTTAAATCTGACTGAATCAGATTTTACTGATATCAAGTAAAAGTGATTCATCAAGATCGTAATAATCTTATCTTTGGAGTCGGTGTTTGTTCTACTCGTGGTCTGATTGAACTCTTATCTTGATTCATTTTTAACATCGTCATTTATTATTTTTATTGTATATTATTTCCAAATATCTCAGTAACCGATTTAAAATGTAATTCTAAATTTACATTCATCAAATAATTCTAAGTTATTGGTTTATATTTTAATTTCTAATCAGCGGGGTTAAATAATTAATATTTAATTCATAATTGTTCCTTAATTGTGGTAGAAAATTTTGAGATTAGGGTGTACGGATCGTGCACTAATTTTAATGATAAACTAGAAAACTGACTCAGAATCTCTTAGTTTGATCCCACATTCCATTTTTTGTATAATTCGTAGAAAGTTGTTCTGAGTTTGGATCTGCTTTAGTTGTTAATGCAACCAAATTTTATGCGAACACTTTAATAATAAAGTATGTTATATAGTAATATTTGAGGCCTACGATGCCCTAAATTTAAAAAAGATACATAATTGACATTCCAAACTGAAAGTTTTCTTATATTCTCAAGCTTTGTCTAAGTTAAAAGTTCTTTTAAAATTAATACTGAAGCAAGAGGAAGTACCCTAAAACCTACAATTGTAATTTGTATTAATTAATTTGAATAAATACCATAATTTAATTAAATTTTTCATTTTGACGGATTGAGAATACGGAGGGTCACCACAACTTTTTTTTTCCGTGCGGAAATTCCCTCGGATACCACCTGTCGGTGGCATGTCGGACTCGAACCGACTAAAACCGCACGCCGGAAGTCCCTGGTGCCCACCCCTATTCATCCCGTGGGTGTCCTAAGAGCCGACAAAGGGAGCTAAACTAAGCAGGACAAAGCACTGCAAAGAGAAGGAAAACTTGAAATAAACCTTATACCAACCCGTCTGGCCAACGTGATCTCTCTATTATATTCTTAGATACCTATAACTAATATTTATATACACATATATATATGATGTTTCTCTTTGTCCAGCCTTTAATTCTTATTAATTTTATTTTTTACTTAATTTATTCACACATTACCATCTGTAAACCAGTTATAAAAGAAATAACTATATTTCTGATGAGAAGAGACACAAAAAGCTCTTATGCGATATAAGCCTAGATATATTACACAATCTACTTAATATTCCATTGTTAATGACAATGTATTAAGAATTGTGTTCGCAAAAAGCATAAAACACAATGGCTGATTAAAATAAGGTGTTATGAATATCAATTTAGACAATCTTGATTACATCTCATGATCATAAGATGTGGGCGAATGCTTCAATGTTTGTTCAATTAGTGTACTGTCATATTGGCCAGCCATAACAGACTGAATAATAAATCATTTAGAATCTATACAAGTGAATTTAGAATCTTTACACGTGGAGCTCGTGTCCAAGTTATAACCGAGTAGGTTAACACATAACAAAGTTAGACCTAGCCAAGTCAGATTATGTCGAGGCACCAGGGACTTGCTTTCTAGGGTATACCTAGTTCCCCGGCTATTAGTACCCAAGACGGCGTGCGGTTTTAGTCGGTTCGGTGGTATCCGAGGGGATTTCCGCAAAAAGGTCAGTATATAGATGGGTGACCATACTTAACACATTGAGGACAGTCCGTGCCTCGGAGAGCACATTAAGCCGTCGATCCCGGTTGCCGCACGAATAACTGTGGCAATTTTTACGGGTAGTTGGAGCATTTAGGGTCCGAAAACAGCCTTTCTATAGAACTTCGATATCGTCTAGTATTAGCGAGTTTTATAACTATAGGGAAAAAGAAGCATGCCCGCCTGGTTTGAATTTTAGAGGTAAACAGATTAAAGTTTTAAAAAACTAGTAGTGGCCTTAGAACTGATGTCGGTAAACAGTTAATATGTTAAATGATCAACAATATTTGCTGTGCGTTTAGCGTATATTTACTAAACAGTATTAGTGTTTATATAGAACCCACTTTAACTGCGCATATTGCATACCATACATACCACATCATGTGTTTATTATATACGTCCGTAAATAAATCATCATTCTCTGAGCCTTTTCCCAAACTAAGTTGGGGTCGGCTTTTTGTCTACTACGACATGGCTTAACTGTTTTTTTTACGTGGAGCGACTGCCACAAACCAAGTACTCGACGATAACATAGTTCTGTATAAATGGGCTGTTGTCTAAATGCTTAGGGTTCCTTCGAGGCAGATGGGCAATCTGCCCATAGCGATTGCCACAGATTGAACGTATGACCATGTTGACAGAAGGACTTAACGTGGTCTCCGAGGCACGGACGCGAGTAAATAAATAAGAAACAAAAATATACTAAAACAGGATGCTTAATTAGTATGATATAAAGTATTTTTCTAATGCAAGTTCTTGTCTAATCAGATTGAAATATTTATAATTAATAAAACTACAAAATCCAATTAAATAGTGAATCGAAATGTTGGTTTTATTCCGTCAAAACTAATTCCACGGGCTCGTGAAAACTAATGAAATAAGCCCAAAGTAATTAGGTTTACTAGTAGCCACTGACGCGTTCTAATATCCACCTCCTTATAGAATAAGACGGTAACTTATAGTATCGTCATCGAACATACATTCATACTATTACTATATATAATAATATTATAAATGCAAAAGTGTGTGTCTGTTTATTTGTTTCCTCTTCACGCTTAAACCTCTGGACCGATTTAGATGAAATTTGGTACGAAGATAATTTGAGTTGTGGGGCAAGATATCGGCTTACTTTTAATCGCGATAACCGACATTCACGAGGGCGGAAGCGCGGAAAAAAGGTAGTAATATATACGTTCAAAATTTAATTTCGGTACGGCAGTTAAAAGTATAATAAACTTATTTTTTACATTTTAAACGCTTACTTAGATGTTTTGTTAGTCATTTAAGTCTTTAGTTACACGTGTGGCTAATAAAAACGTGTTAAAAGTATAAAAAAATCAACAATGTTCTTTAAAAATGTGTCTAGGTCTAGTTGACTTCAGTCAACAAGGCTACTCAAATCAATACGCCATCCGTGAAAAAATTACGTAAATTGAATGTAATTACGCAGAGCAAACCGCATATTCCGGATTAATCTTCTGTAGTTAAATATAATGACATTCTTCCACCGTGTTGAATATCTAAATTACTTTTCATTGGAAAATTATCTCTCTGCAACATAAAATAAATTTTCGTATTTTAAAAATTCAGAAGTAGACCTTAGTTATTGTAGAGTTTTGTTTTTATACAACTAAATAAAAAACAAGTACTTGCACGCGCATGATAGTGAGCGGGTTCCTGTCCCAGTTATTATAATAATAAAACAATACCAATCGTATCGTCTCTCGTGGACGTCTGATTGCGCCATTGCAAACTTCTGTCGAGTGTAGAGAGTGGATACATCGAGTTGGATGAAGACGGCTGCCCATGTCAATTTAAATAAAATTCTGTTCTACCCTATTTCATTTTTAACTTTTTTTTAAAGACAACTCCCGCACTAGGAATAAATCTTGTGTCACGGAGGCTTTATAAACTTACATGAAACGGACACAAAGAACACCCAGACTCAGTTCAACAATTTGTGGGTCACACAAAGTGTTGTTCTATGTGGGGATCGACTTTTTTGATTTTGTATTCATATAGGATACAGTACTTTTTTGAAGAATGAAAGGTTTGCAATGTCTTTTTCTATACGCTTGACAAAATGTTCTTAAATGTTATTAATGGTAATGCTTTATATGTTGATTGGTTAAGTTTTAAGGCTCAAAAATGTAACCAATAAATAAACAAACTCCATACTACGTAAGTATAGTTGCCATATAAGTAAACTATAATAAAGTGTTCGACAGACGCATGAGCGTCTCCATTGTCTAACAGTCAAACTTTCAGGACATACTCAAAACAATGAGGCCATGAACTCAAAAGAAAAACAGGGTAAGGTCTTGGTTACATATGATTTACATCTTAAGCCATTAGATTCTTATAGAAAGCTACTAAAGCTAACACAAAACTAGTAGTATTTAATAAAATATATTTTTCTTAAGATTATCAATGAAACAGGCTTTTACAAAGGTTTCGTTCTTATGTGACCAATCTCTCATAGAGCAGTCGTTTTACCAGGTAAAAGAGAATACGACACTCTTCGTTCGTCGAATCCTCCCAAATCATACTGATCCGGTGCATCATGAATGATAACTAATAGACCACGTTGCATATTTTCGTATTCATAATTTTTAAAATACATAATTAATTAAAAAACCTGCAAAACATATATATTAAAGGTTAAATGTAATGTGTCGTCACTCTACTGGTACACATCGAAAACCAGTTGCAACCACTACAAAAATTTGAATGATTTTACATTATTTTTTGACTACATACATATTTTGTGATTACAAATGTAAAAAAAAAAAATGATTTTCAAGTTCATTTTCTCCGTTGAATATTTTTTATCATATAAAAAATAAGAAATTGAACTCAAAATAATTATTTTTCTCAATAATAACTTTTTATGTGTCTGTGTGTGTGTGTGTGTGTGTAAATTAGAGAAAATAAAATAGTTTACTTTTAGTTTAATACAGAGACCAAAGCTACCGGCATCAATGTGAACTTAAGACAAAAGCTTGCATTCTTGGGAACGATAGCAGGTTTAACAAGTTTCAAGCATCCAGGAGTGTTGCAAACTTAGGAGGTTTCCGTTTTCACCCAAATTTAAGCAGAAGTGATTGGGATTCTATTGATTTAAATCAGACCCTTAAAGATTCAGGCCCGTATTTTAAGAGATGTCTCAAGTATCGGTTGAACTCTAATTACCTGGAACTAGTTTTAAGTGCAGATCAAAACTTAAGCCTCGATCTTTATTATAGAACGCGTTTTAAGTTTTACTCGGTTAAAACTACTTACTTACTTACTACCTGATTAGAACTTACAGTCTGTTCTCAATTACGTTTTCGCATGATCGACATAATTATTCCGCATTACGCAGCAAATTATTAAAAATAACTTTTACTAACATCATTTCTGTAAATTTGTATATACTCGTAGTATACTATTGGCTAGTGTACCAATGTAAACATAATATTAACAAGCTTGTTGTTCGTCCAAAATTAAATATAATTAATAATAAAATAAAAATGATTAGTTATCAGCTATAACGGAACGTACAAGTTATTTATCAATTGTCTTGTTGAATTATCGGACAATGTTTTTATTTTTATATTTATAAAATTTATATTACTAAAATAATTTAATAATTTTAACATAAACCAAAAGGTTGTGGTGATTTTAATTTAAACAAGTATGAAAGTGAAAAATAAGGGAGGAAATTCTAGTATCTAGTACAAAAATAAAAATGAAATTAAGAATAAAAATTAGATAAAATTAAGTTAGAATATTTAATTATGGTTTAACAATTCAACAAAAAATACATTTAAAATACATTCACTATAAATGTACTTGACTAAAATGTGTAAGTGTTAGTCTAAGCGTTGGGCTGTTCGCTGTTTTCTTACTTCTAGCATTCTTAGACCACTCATATCTTTTAAATTAATTTGTTTACTGATTTAACTTACTTTTAAATATATTACTTTTACTATAGTTAACTAAGGTCTGATATGGACTTTTACAAATAGTAATATATTCATTTCTAATAAGATCACTTAAATATAACAACAACAATTTTTAAAGCTAATAAAAATTAGTAAAACACACACAATACTTGTTATTTGCTAATAAATAACAAGTATTGTGTGTGTAAAATGTGAATTTCAGTGAATTAATATCAGTTAAGGTAAATTGAAATGAATTGATTATGTATGCTAATTCTTTCGTAAATATAGTAAAGTAAATCTTTCGTAATTATTCAGAAACAAATCATAAACACAAACAAATAAAATTCCCTAAAAATCACCGCTTGCGATTAGTTTCAGCTTATCTCACGTAAACAAAGCTCACATCTGTCAAAATCTATAACCTCAGTAAAGATTTCGATATAAATATTATTCTAAAATAAGCTATGACTCACTTGAGTATGGATCTGTGAATTTCGTTTTAAGTGAAGTTCAATAATAAAATCTCTACTTAGGTAATATTAGTTTTAAGACTAGATTCATGGCTGAGACTGAATAATAACTACAACTGAATAAATGAGAATGCGGATGTGATTTGCATGGCGATTATAATAACTAACCTTAAAAGTTTATTGTCACAAAATACATCAAAATCTGGTGCTGTTAAATATCTGAAGACGAGTGACTAATCTCAGTTTTATGTGATTCTTTTCCGTGCCCTTTTGTGGAATTATACCTACTTTTATCAATACATATTTACCACTGTACATTTCATACATATACATCATACAAAATTTTCAACACCGAAAAAAAAACTCGATTTTAGAAGTTCATGTAGAATTTAACTTTGATTTAAATAGTGTTCCTCCACAACTTGTTGGTTTTGTCATGCTGACACGTCTACGATCTAACTAATACGTGCTCGGCGCTTAATAAAATTCGGCTGTCACTGAAAAGAGCTCGTCTAGTTACACGACGTATTCTCGCTTCATTAAAATTTGGACCTCTGATACAAAAAGAGATCTGGAACAGTCTACGAATAGCACTGTTAGTTTAATTTTAGATTGCAAAACGATGAATTGCAAAGTTATGATAAATTTAAATTTGCCCAAAAGAATATACAGAGTATTTTTGCTAAAAAATATCATTTTTTCCAATAGTAATTCACCGGAAATCTTTTCGAATTTTATTTCATTTGTATAATCAAGATCAAATCAAGAGAAGATTTGTAAGAAAAATTCTTAGAAAAACCGCTTCAGCGCCCTTTTTTATTTTACCAAACTGCCAAACAATCATAACCGATGAGAGTCAACAAAACCAAACAATAATAATATCAATATGTGTTAATAAATAATTGCTAATTATGTGCATTGAATGAATTCACGGATTGACCATCCCGATTCAGTCCGTGGGTGTCGTAAAAACCGACTAAGGGAGCAAACTACGCAGGCCAACAGCACTGCAAAGAGGAGGAACACTTGGAAAAAAACTCTATACCAACCCGTCTGGGCAGCGTGGTATAGTATGCCAAAGCCTCCTTTTTAATGAGAGGCCTATATTCAGCAGTGGACTACTAAGGGCTGTTGATGATGATGATGATGACGGATTGTGTAATCAACTTGATTGAGATATAAAACATATAGAACCGAGCTGAACACATTTTATTCAAAAGCCGTACAACTGCGTACCTCTGAGAGCACATAAAGGGCTCGGTCATAACTGTCACGTATTACAATAACAGTCAGTTATAGTCTCGCCAAAAAGAGTGGTATGGATTACAAGGTCAAAAACTCTGTAAACTAGGAACAATTGCTTCTTCGCGGAAGGCGCAATAGGTTAAATGATCGACTCGTTACTTATTAGCACTGATTGTTACCGGTGCAATGACCGCATGAAATAATAAACTGTCAACTACGGTACTGTTGATTTAAAATAATGTTGCATCTACTTAACAGTCATTTAACTAACTTTCTTAAAACCTTTCCGAAATAAAGTTTGAATTTAAATATTTCATGAAAGTACTTATTTTTATTTCTTTTAGCATAGAATCTTACTGCTATTTGTTTCTAAAGAGATAAGTTAGAGGTGTATTAAATGTTGTTTTCTCATTTTCTTTTTTACTACTTATTACATCATATTAATAAAAATACTATTTGTTAAGGCTCAGGAGTTTGAAAGTCCACGCTAGAAAAAATGGCAGTTATCTAACTTAGCAGTGTTTTAGCGGGATCACAAGTTCGGTACGACACATATAAGGTAATCTACGTACATAACGTACGATTAAGTTCTGGTAATCGCTTTCTGTCAGGTGGATTATTTATTTGAAAAGTTAGTTGAATAATAAAAAAAACAAATTTTCAAAAAGACGTCACGTTAACACCGTAACTCATTTCTGGGGTACGATTGTGATTTTATCGCGAACACCCCCCAGGGAATGCCACGGTGTTCTGTGGACCGTGAAACGAGGCGAAACTCAAGCGAACGTGTTTATTACTTATGCGTTTCACCCGCCAATGTCGTAAAATGTATTGGATATTTTACTTTGCACGGGTGAGGAAAGGCCTTAGTTCCTAACGATAATTTAAAGGCAACAGGAGCGAAGATATGTTTTAAAAGTAACTTTTATTTGTTTATACGGGCGTTGAACCCATATATATAGTCGTATATACAATATACTCAACAATATACTCGTATATTTATTTATTTCTGTACGGCGTCGTCGTCGTCGTTTCTGTTTCTGTGTCTGTTTTTTGATGCACTTCTGGTGATCCTGTCACCAGAAGTGCATCAAAAAACAAAAACATGATACTCAGCAAGTCAAAGGGATAGTTGAACTGTCCTAAGTACATTACCATTCTTTAAAATAATTATTTCCATAGTGCAGCGAGAGACAAATGATAATTTCGCTTTCAACACCTCTTACAGTTTTTATTTTTTTGGAAAAAAGTACCCGATGTTCTTTGTCCCCTGAAAACGCTTGTGCCAAATTTGTTAATCATCAAGTTGAGTATTTAGACCGTAAAGTATATTCAAAAAAACACTACTCACCGCTAAGATGCCCATTAATTCATCTCATTTATTTCCCAACTACGCTAACACCTTTAGTTAAACCGATTAAGTTTCTTCCATTAATAGAATATCTTTAATCTACTGAACCAATTTCAATTCTCGTTAGCTAATTAATAAGATTGTCTAGAAATAAACCGTTCTTTTAAGTCTCCACAACAATGATAAGCTATATTTTATTTTTTATCAAGTGCGAGACATCGTACTGCTTAGATAGGTATTTTTTTTGCCATAATGAATTTTCTAACAAAGCGTGTTTTTTACTATAAATCTTTGAAAATATGAAGAAATTTGAGAAAATATGAGGTAAAAAATATTCACTTTTTTTAATGATATGGGGCGCAAACCAGCAGACGAAAAGCATTTACCATCGTATCTTTACAGTCGTATGCAACCATGCGACTCTAAAGATACAAGTGAAAGAAAGTAAGAAACAGTGCCGACAGAAGTGAAAACTTATCTACTTATATACAGAGGTGTCGGTAACGGTAACAGTGTCGCGAGTTCAATGGATTTTTCCCATTTAATACATTCTTTTGTTTGTTGTTCAAAAATGCCTAACGCGCCTAAAGAAGTTTTCACTTCAAAGGAAGAAAAGAATATAGAGAAAAAGCAAGTTTTATTTTTGTTTTGGTAATAACACAACACTTTTAAGTGCATTACACTTTTTGAGTGCCCCTCATCGAGAGTTAGGGAGCAGGGTTGGTTCTACGGCATCCTCACTCCCTCGATGAAAAGCTACGAAAGAATTGCTTAACACCGGTTTGCTGTAATTTACCGCCCTTTGAGAGTTTTGAGCCTCCGTTAACTTAATTCTGTCGGTTATAAACGAAAGAAGGTTTACTAGCAACCGAAATTATGAGTATTCCTGTTAACCCCTCCAGCTAAGCTAACTTGCTTGTGTTAGGCATGGGCACGTTAGTAGTGTACTGATCAGGATTCGAACCCATGACCTCTTGATCGCAAGTCCAACGCCTTAACCACTAGGCTACCGCCGCTTCAAGAAAGCGGCTTTTGAAAGAGTTTGCTTAACACTGGTTTTAGGTTGATTACT